TCGCCTCGCCGGTTGTTACGATGTCATCGGTAGATGCGGCCCCCCCCCCCGCCGCCTGCTCGCCATCCGCCGCCGCTGCCGACGAAGCCGGCGACGTGGCCGGCGTCGATCCGGCCGTGGCGCCGCCGCCGTCCGTCCCCGGCAGGGGCGGGAAGTTCGCCGCACTGAGCATGTCGCGCCCCGCGGACCCCCGAGACGCCGCTGAAGACTTCCCGCCGCGTCCTCCCTCGCCGCGCCCCTGCTGCGCTGAGTTTCCCCGGTCGCCCTTTTTTGGGCGGTCGCCACCGCCGCCACCTCCTCCTCGCCCCCCTCCGTCTCGTTGGTGTTGCCCCGAGTATGGAGCGCCCGCGCCCCCGTTGGCTCCCCCATACCCTCCTCCCTGCTGCTGCTGCATATTGTGGTCGCGGTCTCGCGATCCCTTCTTCTCCCCACGCCCGCCGTTTGCCTGCGGCTGTTGTTGCTGCTGCTGGTGATGATGCCGTGCTTGCGGCTGCTGCTGCTGCTGCTGCTGCTGCTGCTGCTGAAGCTGTTGTGTGTGAGGAGTAAGGGGCGAGGGGCAAACGGCGAGACATGAGTAGCTGATGTAGCGCAGAAAGGGTTATCACGCCACGGCAAGCGTGATACACCGGGCGTGTTTCCTACAACCGTGCACTAGTAACACCAAGTCGCGCTGGCGGTCGTAAGAATGAGGATGGCGACGCGAGAGCATACCAATAGTGCAGATGAAGAAAGACACAGGTTTATTTCAGCCCTCGATCGAGGTACCAACCCGGAACCGGCACGACTTCGCCGCAAGGGCAAGAGACAAGAAAAAAAAAACGTCTTCCAGACACAGCAACACAGCACTGACGGAAACACAGCAATCGAAGCAAAGCAGCGAAAGATATACACACATGATCATTCCTGCCAAGTGGGCGTTTTGACAGCAGTCCTGCTCTCTACTTCCATCACGTTAACGGTCATTTCGCAGGCAGCCTTCTCAACAGCGCTAAAAACAACAACAATGGGTTTGTGTTATAACTAAGAAAAAGCAAACAGACACCCATCGATGGGCCGGCGGTAACATTTCCGGGCTCTCGGGGGCTCACCGAAGTCCGAAACCACAAACAAAATACATGAGTACAAATAAATGAACCCCAACTGCCGGACCGGACCTGCTGCGGGTGATTCGCGTTCATCCCCATCATCTGCTGGCCCATGCCGTGCTGCTGCCCCTGGTGCATGCCGCCGCCCATGCCCCCCATCTGCATCCCCCCTCTCGCGCCCGCCATCATCCCGCCCCCCCGACCACCAGCCCCTCCTCCCTGCACCATCCCCACGTGCTGCTGTTGCTGCATACCCCCACCGAAGCGCATGCCACCAGCTCCGCCGCCGCCAGCCCCGCCCGGCTGCTGCTGCTGCATCATCATGCCGCCGCGGCCGTACATCCCGCCCCTCGCTCCGGGCCCGGAGTAGCCGTAGTTCGGCTGCCCGTTCATCATGGGCGCGCCCATGCCGTTCATCATGCCGTAAGGGATCCCGCCGGGCATCCCGGCCCCGGCGGGGCCGGCGCCGGCGCCGGCGCCCAGGCCGTACGGCGCGGCGGCGGCGGCGGCGGCGGTGGGCTGCACCTCCGCCGCCGTCGGCACCGGGAAGAAGGATCGCAGAAGGTTCTCGCTCTTGAGGCGGGCCTTGATGGCCTTGCCCTCGAAGGTCTTGCCCCGGAGGGCGAGGATCGTGTTGAGCGCGTCGTCCTCCGACTCCATCGTCACGAACCAGGTGTCGCCGACGTCGCTCCGGATGGACTTGATCGGAGCGACCCCGTCACCGGTGAAGATCTCTCGGATCTTTTTTGTTCGAGATGATTTTTTTGGGTTGGCGGAGAATAGCGCGCACGGGGGGGGGGAGGGGCAGATACGGCGGATTAGGCGGGGAAAGGGACAGTGCGCTACAGGCCCCGAGACGGAGACCGAACGCAGTGAATAGCACAGCCATGGTTCGCGGCAAACGAAAAAAAACGTTGTACATAGGCACACACAGTCGCCGTAAGCCCACCAGTCCGCCCGCCCGGACGTGGCGGAAGCTGCAGGTACGCCGTTCTCAGCACGCGGGGAGCGCACGCGTATTTCCTTCCCCGGTGCAGGCAAGTTAACTCCCTCACCTTCTCTTGCGGAGTCTCCGACGGGATCTCGCGCAGGATGATGGTGTTGCGCTCCTGCTTAATGCTGGGCTTGATGCCGTCCGACGTGACGGTGCACACGGTGGAGTCCTTGACGCTCTCGACGATGAGGGCCGTGTCCGACGTGAGCTGCTGGATCTTGTGGAACTGCGCGATCACCGCCACCGGCACGCACATCTGCGCGTTCATCTTGGAGACCAGGAAACCGTCGGACTGCAGATTCTGTTTGGAAAAGTAGAACTCGACCTGCGATTGGCAGAAGGGTCGTGAGGGGTGGAAGGGAACGGACGAGGTGTTAAAAAGACGCCATGGTTTGTGCCACACGGCCGTACGACGAGGCGGCGAGGGGGTTGCGGAGGATTTATGTCTTGTGCGGAGGTACTGCTGTATGGTCGGGCAACCCCACACAGATATTAGGAAGATGCCCACAATCAGGCTACTGTATGGAATGTTGAAAGCAGGGTTAATGTCGAACACAGCGCTTCAATGTTTTTCCCCATCGTGCAGCCAACCAATGCTCCATGGGATGGGCAAGATGAACTCAACGCGTGCGGGGGGGGGGAGATGATGCCCTTAAGTATTGGCTAACGACCGCATGACCGTTGCCACCCCGCTCCAAGAGTCCACAGCATTGTCTCCAGGGGACGACGGCGCAATTGTTCGTTAGTCTTCCCGCGTCACTCTTCAGCTCGTACTTGCCGCAAAAATAATCCGGATTGACTTCGATACGCTCTTTGCGGGGACTTTCGCCCACAACGCTTTTGGATTCCACAACACCCCGCCCCTCCTCTAACCCAGAGCCTGTAGACGCCGTGGGGAAGCTCGTGATGGCCGTTCGTTCGCTCAGTCTACACACCACTGGCAGATGCCGCGGTCGATGTACTCCGAATGTTTTGGGGTATGAACGGGCGCGCGTCGGTCACTGCGCTCGGTGTGGCTGGGGGGTACCGAGTATATTTAGCAACTATCGGCGATAGCACCAGGAACAAGGGCGGGCGGCGTCTGGAACCCGACGCGACTCCGACGACCCTCGCGCGCTAGATGACATGATGTGGCCAACAATCGTCGTTTTCATGCCATCTCACTCCGCAGCCACAAGAACGAAAAAAAATTACCCACACATCGGGGTAAAAAACTGGCCCGCACGACAACGCCGGCAAAAAGCTCCGTCCCTCCTGGGAGCATGTGCGCAGAGCAAAAAGAGAAATTCGTGGGCGGAAAAAGCAAGAGCGCGCCCACCTGCTTCTTGAGAGCCACGAGCAGCTCCTTGCCGTCGAGCTTGACCTCGGGCACCAGCGGGGGAGAGGTCCCTTCCGCCGGTGGCGCCGCCGGCGGCGGCGAGCTAGCCACGACCTCATCGCTTGCCCCTGCCACCTTGGCAGCAACCGTGGCTGCTGCTGCTGATGCTGCTGCCTCCGGAGTCACCGGTGGAACTTCCACGGGGCCTGGAGAGTTCTCCATCCTCATGCCCGCCACGCTAGGCCGGACTCCTTAGCGGGCAGGGATGGGATGCTGTTGTTCGTCGAGTGGGGGCTAAGAGATGTAGGAAGGGCACGTCCGATGTGAATCTTGGATGTGACGCCCGGGCTTCCTGCTCTCTTTCTCTCTCGATCGATGCGGGGAAGCAGCAGGCCGTTGCGCCCCTGGTCTACAGCACTGTCCTGGTTAGCGTCTACACCGCTGCTGGCGAACCGATCGGTCAGATGCCGCAGATGTTTAGCAAGACAGAGAAAGACAGCGCGAGGCAAGACGCAAGTACACAAAAGTTAGTCATGGTTCAGACTCACCAAATTTGTATGGTATTTTGTCTAGGATACTGGATTTTCTCTAGATTCGTATGTGTGGTGGGTTGATGCATACATCAAAGAAACAGAGCTACTTCCGCCGCCGCCGGAGACGAAAACAGCAAGACCTTGCAGTCAGGGAGAGGGGGGAGCTAACGGGCATGACTCCCCAACGGCATTGCGGGAGAAGGGAAGCGTACAGCGATGTACCGTGTGGCTCGTGTTCATATTTCTAAACACGCGTGACGTGGGACGCGTGTTTGCGAGTGCTTGGTCACCTTGAATTCAGGCCTCAGCAAAGCCACTAAAAAAATCGACCTCCGTCCAGCTCGCCATCGCTGGCTACTTCATGCTGGCCGGCCACAACAGCCTCTACGCACACCAAGTGTGGCACACGGAACAATCCCCGGGGTATTTTAAGCTCCGTACGAGGTCGTCCACCCCCTAAGCCAACCACCACAGCTCCCGCTGGCAACTTGCAGCGCTACCTGCCCTAGGACGTGTTTGATGTGCTGTGTCTGTGGGTGAGCTGAGGTACAAATTTGTTGGTCGCTCTCCCTCGCTGTCCAATCGCATCGCACCTCGAGATAGAAGCTTTCCGCTCCTGCAGCCCCGCTCCTGTGAACCACAATTGCCGAGCACCTATCCTTCCTGACCCCTACCTCCTTCGTAATTTGTAATTTGCGTCTACCCAGCACAGCACCAACCTTCCTTGGGTTGACCCCCCTCCCCCCCCCCCCCCCCATAAAAACACATTTTTTAATGGAAAAGGGGGTCTGGGCGGGCGCAAAAAAAACACGGAACTTGCTGGATCCAGTGTTCAGGTCACTGGTTCATCCATGATCGAGCACCAGCAGTGCTCGTGATCCATCCACCCTGCTCTGAGTACCCACGCGGGGTCATCAAATCCCATTCTACGTTGTTTCTCTTCTGAAAAGCTGCCATGGGTGCGCGGGCTTTGGTGATGTGTACCACATGCTTTAGGCGAGGATCTGCTCATCAACGATCAATCTATCTGCTTGTATTTGACTCGGGGCGGTTGAGCGAATGAACCCCGCGTTGTTGCATCCATACATAGACTAATCATACCCTGAAAGGCGCTGTGAAACCTGACGTCCAGAAAACGGGGTGAGACACAAACTTACTTCCTTGTGCGGAGGCGAAACAGCTGTAGGACGCGTGATTTTTCCTCTCGAGGAGACAACATGAGTTTATCGAAGAAGAGGTGTCTCACGTCGCAGGTGTGGCACATGATCTCCTCCTGCTCAAAACAAGGGCAGTGTTGGGCGTGCTCAGTCAAAGGGATGCGCTCAATGCTCAACAAGAAAAAAAAATGCATTCTCCGTGTTGTTTTTCCGTTTTTTCACAAACAGGACCAAAGGCCAACAACCACGCGATTCGTACTGCACAGGAGAACAACTACATACTATACGTAAGATATGCGGCCCCGAACTGTTACGAGCCACGAACCAGCGTGATGCGCAGAATCCATAATATACACACACATTCGTATTCGAGACTGCTGGACAAACATATCTAAAGCATCTACTTCAGTACGTAGTATCTTGCATACCATCCGCGCCCCCGAACAGACCTGGCCATGCCACTAATCATCTAATCATCAGGGGGCGAAAATCAACGCCTATGGAATTTCCAACCAAACGAAATGATCACAACACTGGCAAAGACAACGCAAGCGATAAAAAGTTCCCGAGGCGCCCTCGACAATGTGCTACGAAAGTCATTCATCGCCCCACGGGCTTGCATCTCTCCCATTGCACCTGCTAGAGAAATCGGGACATGGCACACATCTCCGCGTGTACGACGTCATCAACGGCGTGGCTCAGCAACGCCCCGCGCACTATGGTACAACCAGGCCACTGTACGCTGGTGGGGACAACGCTCAAAAACAGGTCACGATCCTATGGCTCCTGGCGTAGTCATCATGACGTTTTGTTTTGCCACCATACGACAAGCCATGGAATAATAAAACCACGTTATTGTTCATGTTCTCGATAGCATGCCCTCTGGAGGACATCCTCGGCACAGTAGCAATAACGCTTCATCTTCAACCTGTGACACGACACACATTAAAGAGAAACGAAAACAATAACCTTGCCTACTACTGTTGCCCCGGCTCCCCTACTGCCAACTTGTCGGGTGCAGCGTACCACCTCCTCGTAAAAAACGTGCGACCCCACCCGCTGTCCAGAATACAACCCCCTTGCCTAGCGCGGACGACCAAAACTTGGCGCCTCGGAAATAACTGCGAGCGAGAAATACCAGAAACCTGATCTCCGGGATGCCGTCTTCTTGCTTGCGACACCGGAGAGCTTCCTTCCAACAACCAACAATTGCAGACACACGCACCTCCCCTTCCAAACCACAGACTCAAAAACAAGCACGCCACCTACGATATTTTCTATAAACATACGCCGCGGTACACGCAGATGGTGGCATCTCTTCGCACACATGGACCACCCCCGGTTCCGCGCACAAACAACGTCCGTGTTGGGCGTAAAGAAGCTAGCTCCTTTAAAATTGCATCACCACTGCCATTCGGAGAGAAGGAGGAGCAGGCATACCTCCTTCTCAGCACCCGAATTGGTTTCCGAGCATCGAAAAGAGACAGAGAGACAGAGCGGGGATAAAAAAACGATGTACAACCCAGCTTCGCTCGACTCAGACACACATACTGTTTTCAGCCGCACTGAGACTGACGTCTTTTCATTGGTCAGTCGGTCGATGCTAACAAGGGAAACATACACAAGCATCAAGCGGAAAAGAAAAAAAATGTGTTGAAACCACGGGAGGGGGCAACAATACACCGTGCTAAACAGACCTAATTCTTCGCACAAAACACAACCAGTACCCAACAAAACAAAACTTGCTGGCGCACCCTTGTACTCGCCCCGTCGACGGGAACAGGACGTTGTGCTGCGCTTGCGTGCGTGCCCTCTGGTCGGGTGAGGACCCGGGAGGCGCCTCGTTCGTGCGTCCCGCTTGCATACCGGTGCTGCATATGTACGAGAGCATGAAACCGCAACCCACGATTTACCAGACCCGCAAAAAAAGACAAGCAGCAAGCAGGCCAGCAAAGCAAACGAAACAGTCACTCGCGAAGCGACAGCTTGGCGGCGATCACCCCGCAGGCGACGCTGGCCAAGAAAAACAGCCCCAACACAGCCAGGTTCTCCGTGCACAGCGCCGCGAGCTCGGCGAACGCCGCCTCCAGCCTCGGCGCCGTCGCCAGGAACAGCCCCCCCTTGCCGAAAGCCTCGCTCTTGCACATGGGGCAGAGCGCGCTTTTGCCGGACAGCCACGGCCGGATGCACTGCGTGTGGAACGAGTGGCGGCAGGGGAGGCCGGTCAGGCTGTCCCCGTCCTCGTAGGTCTCGAGGCAGATCGCGCACAGGTCGTCGTCCTCCCTTCTCATGAAACCGTTGTCGTTGCTGCTGCTGTTGTCCTCGCTGGCGGCGGAACCGGTGCCGTTTCCGAGAGAGCTTGCTGACGCGGTCCCCCCATCACCGGAGGAAGAATCGTCACCACTTGTTTGTGATGCGGCGGCGGCGGAAGCAGCAGACTCACCTTGCCCAGTGGTCGCGTCCACTGTTCCGCTCGCCCTACCGCTGTTGCTGCTGCTAGTGCCGGCGGGGTCGGATTGGTTCCCAAGGGTAGGAGGAGGGGGTCGTCTACGGAACGTAAACGACTTGAGCTTTCGCATCGCCCTCGTGCGGTAGCCCCGTTGGTACCTGCCGTGTGTTATGTCGTTGTACGAGCCGGGGTGGGGGCAGAGAAAAAAACTCAAGAACGGGAAAAAAATAATAATAATAATCATGCGCGCAAAGACAACCAAGAAACAATCGTAGCTGATTTTCACGCCCACGTGATTTCAAGGTGCCAACCCTACCCTACACCGCCGTCCACGCAGAGGTGAGTCAGCTTGTTCCATCTTGTATATCGCTTGACAAAGAAGCGTCAACGACACCAACGACCAACACAACCGGCCACGTACGCGAATGTCAATAGCCGGCCTTGCGAAGCGTACAGCAAGCGGAAAAAACCCTTGAAAACAAAAAACCGTCTCCAGCAGCGCGGCGGTGTTCTAGATCTCCCAACGCACGCATTGCACTGGCACAACATAAAACCCACACGGTATCTTCGGGAGCCCCAACAATGTTAAGAAATAACTGCTGCCACCTCACCACGTAAACCCCAGGGCAAACACCAACCCACACACGCCGGAAAATGCCAGCAGGAGCACAGACAGCAGCAGGTAGATGCCGAGCATCTCAAGAGCCCCCACGGGCCTAGCCGCCATCACGATGTGCCCCGCGGCGCCGACGCTAGCCCGCAACCGGCCTTGGCGGCCCGGTAACCAGGAGCGATTGCTCCAGAGGCGTTCTCCGGTCGCATGCGAAACTAGCACCGCCGGGATATCGATGCCCTGCGTTTCGTTTGTTTTTTTTCACATATACGGTACCGCAGGAGGGGTGGGTAGGGAGAAACCCTTCTGTGTGACCACGGGTTGGAGTAAACGGCAAAAGTGCTGTGAGCGCTGATTTGAAGTCAAGGCCAAAAAAATAAAAAATAAATAAACATGTGGTTTCCGGTTGGTAAATAGCATCGACTGCGTGGACCGACTCATAAACCAGTATGACATGACGTTACCCTTCACGGGGAAAACAGCAAAAAAAGATATGTAGTAGGTCGCCCGGGTTGTGGGCGTGCGAGTTTTTGGCTTTGGTGTGCATCGGGGGAAGAGGGGAACTAGCGTGGACAGGCAAGCAGCGCTACGGACGCATGAGTGCAAGGATGCGGAACGCTCGTGTATCCTACTGGCGTATATACCACACGTGTCTACAAAACGTGTGAGCAGATAAAGCTAATGGAGGTGGCCAACACGCGGGTGTCTTGGAGGCGTTTCTTGGCTCACAACAGCAGCCACTTTGGTATGCACCTTGCCCACCCTCCCCCCGCTCCTCCGCCGGCGCCCGGGGATGAGACCGCGTGCGGGTGTGGGGTAAAGCTAACAAACAAGTGAGAGCAAGGGAATTGGAACGAGCCCTTTGCATTCCACATGGGCAAGCGGCTTCCTCTCAGGTGATGCTTGCTCCGAAAAACCCTACTGCGAGAAGCCCACAAAAGCCCCCAAGCGCTGCCGTTGCTGCTGCTGCTGCTGCTGCTACTACTCCGTATGCCCAGACAACACAACGCTTGCCCCAGCAACGAAGCACTCCGTGTTCTTCCTCCCCGCCGCAGTGCGCTACGAGGGTGTTGCGAATCGCCGCCTCTCTCAGACCCGAAACGTCGATTCCGCTCCCGTCAGTCCGTCCCGAACGGAAACTATCGGTTGCTTCGACGTAAAAAGCCCGGAAGCCGTCTGCGGCACAATATCTCAACACGCTCACCCGTCAAGAACCCTCACTTCCATGCAAATTGCTTCAGAACCAACAAGGAATGACCCCGAGCGAAAAAATAAGCTTCGCGAAAAAGGACCGAACCAAAGCAGCGGGGAAGGGAGGGGAGCGAAGCGTCTCACCTGGGTGTTCTCCGGATCGCCATACATGACCATCAACCACTTGTCTGTCGCTGGCGTGTCCGTCACCACGACCGCGGAGGCTCCCGCCAGTTGAGCGTGCAACACCTTTGCGTCAAAATTGGGTATTTACCATTATGAACAGTATAAATAATGCGTTCAGCTGGTGTTTTTTCGATTCGTGGGGTAGGGAAGGGCGGCGGCGCGGCAGTTTGGCGCAACTTCTAGGCATCGTGCGTTGAGGATCGGGTAGAGGTAGGCCCTACATACCGCGGGGAAGAGTGTGGGTTCGCCAAAAAACAACAGATCGCCAGGAGGGTACGTTGCCCGCGTTTTTGTGTGTAGCCGGTTGGGAGCGTGGGCACTCCTGTTGTGTTCAGCGCGGGCTTGTTGCTATCGTGCTGCCACGGATTTCTAGCGGCATGCGCCAGCGGGGATGGAGAAGAACAAGGAGAGGGGCGAGGACGCACTATTGGGCGGGGAACCCCTTGGATATTTCCGGGAGACGTAGCACTAACAGATCCGTCCAGAAGGGTAAACCCGCATTTTTCGCCGACAACAGGATACGGGCAAGACACGACAGGACAAGCGCACCCCTACGGAACCGAACAACGCGGTGGCGGCACTAGCAATCGCGCGTTACAAATCACCTTCTGGGTGAAGTTGCACGTTCCCCTCTCCACCAGCGCGATCGCTCCCTCGTCCATGGCATTGTGGAGCGGCACGCAGCCATCCCTGGGCTTAGCCCGGACGAGCGGCCGCGACTCCACCGGGGGCTCCGCGCTAAGCACGTCCGGCCCAAACGCCGCCGCGCTGAGAGAGAGGGGGGCAATCGGTGGCAAGAAAGGGGGAAGGGATTCGGCGTCTAAAAAGAGGTTGCTTTTGGTTCGTGGCGTGGGCCCAGAACACGCGGTTGGCATTTGTAGGCCCGGCATCCAGGTACTCAGACGCGAACGTAGGAGAACAGGTCGGGCTTTATAGGCTGTGCACGTGGGGGCGAAAGCGAGATGATGTCTACTGCAACGTGGCTTAGAGATTCAACGACTCTAACGGATGAACACAGGCGGATATAGACTGATTTCGGTGGCGAGGGGGGTGGGCGATGGCGCTGTACCTCGGAACGGCTATCGGGGGGTCCGGTGCGGGGAACGAGCACGGGCCAATCACCGATCGTGACGTTGGTAGCGCAGACTCGGAAGCACAGACAAAGCAGAGCAACCATATACCACGACAGAGGGAGGTTCTCCACGTTAGAAAAGGGCAAGGCCGCTGCGGTTAGATGCAGGCTGGGCGGGTAAGGTGGACACAAACAACCAGGAGCGCGAGACAGACAGACACGTGTCGCAGGCACCGATTAGGAACCGAACACGTGGTAAGGACAAGGCCAGGCACAGGGGGCATCGACTACAGTACACTCACAACGCACGACACGCAGAAACGCAGGAAAACATACACCAGCCGGTGAGCAGAATGGGCAGGCGAACAAAGAAAATGAGCGTTGGGACCGAACTAGACCGCAGTCCCCCTTGAGACCACCCCCGGGGGCGCCAATAAGTTCTGTGGGTAAGCAACGCCCCCGGGGAGTTTCCCTCAAACGTTTGGGGGCGATTGTTGCACGACAAGAGGAACACCCCCCGTGGCCAACATATATCCAAGGGGGGTAGGTTGCTCTCTTTTGTCCTGTTCAGGGCACCCCCTGGATACGCACACACGGTTATTTCGCTACAACACTGACGTATTTTCATTGGTCAGCCTGTGAGCGCGGTCGACGCTAACTCAAACACACGGCACACAAACACAAGTAGGTCGGAGCAGGGGGGTGGCAGTTGTGTTGTCCAGACAAGCTGCGGCTTCGACTGCTGTAGCCCGTATTAGTAAACTACCCTTTTTGACCTCTCGTTTGTTTCTGGTGTCTGTCGATGTTGTTCAAAACTTACTGTCGTCTCTTTTGCGTCTGATCGTGCCTTGTTTCGAAACGCGATGCGGTCTTTGTTGTGCTTTCTGGTTACGGTAAGTTTCGGAGAAACCATTACGTGAAATCAATGTGAAGGAGCAAGCGTATCGCTTGATGGTTGGTGGGTCTTGTGGCGTACCCCGTACGGCGGTTATTTAGGCGTTGCGAAAGCGTCGACTCAGAGCTTGGTCGACAGGAGTACCGACTAGTCAACAAGCTGTTGATGGGTGAAAGTGGATGTTGACCGATCAGCTCGGCTCACTTGACGCTGTCAAATAGTATACACCCAGCTGTGTCGAAAACCCTTTTGTGTCGTTTGTCCATAATGATTGGTCACCGCCCACGTTCACCCTGCCGTGTCCTCAATCGCCCGGGGTATTGTAAGATGGAGCAACTACTGCTGTAGTGTATGAGAGCTATATGACCGTTGTACGAGCGTGACATGGATATTTGTCGTTTTCGCTTGTTATCGTCATCAGGACTGATTCCAACCCCCGTGAGAGCGGAACACGGGCCTGGCATGAAGAGGATAACACGTGAAGCAAAGCAACAACCTGCTGTGAGCGACACCAAGCAAGGAGCAGCGGGCCTGCTCCTTTCCGTTCTATCTCTTTGTTCCTCCAAACTGAAACAACATACGCTGCCACGGCTATATTTCTCCAGAATTGTACCCTGATTTCCGAAAAGTACCCTGATCTCACCGACGGGAAATGGGATCCTTTCATCGGCCATTTCCTCTGCAGAAATCCTTTTCTGATCCAACCTATAGAATACCGATCATGAACTCTTCCCGCTCGAAACAAGCGATGGCTGGCACACGGCACATATCGGTTGGGCAAGCAATGATATGATTTGAGGTACGCCCAGAACGCGACCGATCCAGCATGATTGAAGCAGCATGCCTGGCATCTCCAAAGCGACGGATGTGCGGATGGATGTGTGGCGGCGATCTCGTGGTGGCGGAGAGAGGTGGAAGGACATACACACACACGCCGACTGGATCATCATTGAAGGAATGGGACGCACTACAACAGAGGAAGTTTGGAACGCGCTGCACAACGGAGGCAGTAATATTGCCGGAACGCATTCCTTCGATTGTTCTGTGCACAGCTTGTGCTGGGGGAACTCACGGGAGAGGGGTGAAGAAAAAAATAAACTTGGCGTTGTGATACAGCAGTAGTAGTACAGCAGTAGAGGTCCCGGGTTAGCGGTCCGTAGTGTCACAAAATGTTATAATGAGCCGGGGAGCGCGCAGCGCGACATTTTTTCCCTTCATCCCCAGGAGGGAAAAAAGGCTCTCTATATATCGGCCTATTCCACCGCGCGACACAGGGGCCCAAAGTTTGGTTTCCGGGCAGCCGAAATATCCCACCTTTGGGACCAGAACGAGATCTATAGGGCACTGATTGACGATCTGTTCGTTTCTGAGGAAGAAGAAAATAGCGCGCTCTTCGTCACACCGGTCGGTTTGGTCGTGCTTCGGCAACAGATGGCCGTGCTTCACCGGCGTTTGTGCCCAAAATTCGTAGGAGGTCGCTTCCCCCAACCCCCGGGTTTCTCCGCGAAAAGGGGAACACAAAAACGGAGATCGCGCGGGCGCGCGATTGAAACCAGGAGAAGAAACAGAGACAGAAACGCAACAATACCACCAAAAAACGCATCCCCGCTGGGACGCTGATCCGAGACCAGCTATGAAAACCAGGAGGGGCCGAGCCTATACGACCTGCGCGCCGTGGGTATAATCACATGCGCCATGTGTAACCTGGCGGGTGTTTATTGATGTTGAGTGGGTCCAACCGACTGCTAAAAAAACAGCAGACCGATGATCACAATCACACAATATAACGCACCTTCCCAAGTCCGGATCACACCTACCATCGAGAGAAACCGTCGAGGGCGTGAGGGTCTACTGCTGTGCGTTATCAGGATAGTTCCCCGGGATTGGTTCAGGTTGCGTACTTGCGCCGCGCTACTGACTGCCTTCGCAAAAGCCGTGCCCTGCCGGCTGTTGCTGCTGCTGGGCCTCTCGCATCAAAGTCATGGCCATCTTGGGCCATCAACGGCTTTTGTATTGAGGTTACTGCTGTTGTAGACTTCTTTCTTTCACTTGGCAGGAAATTCGGAAGGCTTCAGACGAAAATTGGCGGGTAAGTTGTGAGCCTGACTCAATATTTGCCATCCGTCTGTCACGCATCTGTCTGTCACAATCCTATGTCTACCCTGCTGCTCGTGCTCCTCGACGGTGTGATGCGTGATACGCTCGCCGCCAGGTATATGCCGCATGCGTGCCTCTTCCAGATGTGCGTGTTTGCGTCCACACAGCGGGAAGACTTCATATTTTGGTTCTTCGTGGGTGTGTGCATGCTGGTTGGCATCAACGGAAGAGAAACTACCGCATGCAGAGTGCAAAATTTTGAACGAGGGCCGCCCACAAACCACCCTCGTCGCGCCTGTCGCACCGCTGTCCATCTGGTGCACATAGCTGCACCACAAACGATTCACGTTGCTGTGTGTTGGCATTCTTGCACCATTCGGATCGCAGACATAGACTACTTGTTGAGTCGCTACCCCGCGGCTCATTACCCCGCCCTATCTAGTAACCGCTGTTGAGGGCATCGCCGCTAAACCGGATTGGCGGTTAAATAGTACTTTGACAATAGTACTTTGACTACCGAGGTGCAGCTGTGCCACGAGATTGTGGAACCGCTATTCAGGGCATCCCGCTACACGGGGAACCGCTAAACCGGGACTACGACTGCTGTAGGATGAAAAGAACGTTGCCGCGGTACGCTGGAAACATACAACTAATTCTATTTGTTTTTTATGTCATCAATATGACCCAACGAATCCATCTCTATCGAAGAAAAGTCTAAGATAGATTAGCAATGAATTCATAGCATCAGCGAAAGTTCTGTTTTCCCACGATTTCCCGAGCAGCACACAGTGATATCTCCCCCGTGGGTAGCAGGGTCAACAAGACAGTTTGGTAACCATCTTGTATATCTATCGGTATGTTATGCTGGGAACTAATGGTAGTGCTTACCACGAAATTGAAGTTGCTGCAACTTTCTGCAACGACTGTGAGCAAATACACAGGTGAGTGGATTGCGTGAACCCTGATGTCGCCTTACATAGGTAACAGTTCGCCGTCTGAACATGAACCAACGACATGCAACAGCAGCGGCCGTGGCAGGTGGCAACTGCCGAAAATGCCGTTTTACACGCGGAGGTACGACGGTATGTCGTCAGTCGGCCGCAGACAAGAATCGACGCGCTACCGTCTTCTTGGTCCGACGCGTACTATCGCACTACTATCGCGCGCGAAGATACTAACAAGGAGAGGACGCCAAGGATAAGAAACGTAGTAGGTACAGTATCAAAGCAGCAACCCACACACACGCAACTGGCACTCACACATGGTCGAAGGTCGCCTGAAAGGGCTCCTCGATGACGAGCCCGATCGCCGCGGGACAGAGGCACGACAAGAGTGTAGTCACGAGTACCGCCGCCGCCGTCGCCCCTGCCGTCGGCCAGGCAAACCAAACCGCGCCTCCTCCTGTTGCCGGGAGCGTGGCGCCTCTGCTACCGCTGGGACGATGCCGCCACCGAGGACATCGCCCGGCCCGACCAAGGCCATGTTGGTGTTTGTCCCTTCGGGACGCGGGCTCTTCGATCCTCATCTTTGCCTTGTTGGTGCGGCGGTTGATGTTGTAATGGCTGGTGTGCTGGTGAAAACCTCTTGGCGCCGCCGTCGCTGACGACAAGGAGGTTTCCACCATGATGTCTGGATAGCCACCAAAACCTTGCGCGACTCGCGTGCTGTTGTGCTGCTGCTACGCGTGTCGATGATGGTGTGTGTCGCCAGAGTTTCGTGGGGGGCTCCGTCGAATCGTGGGGGTCTTGACCATCTGATAGGTTGGCCCTAAGACAAGAGGGGATGGTGTCGACAGGTCCGCGCGCGCTCATGATAGCGCTGCTGCAGAGCACGAGAAGCTCACGCGAAGCCCTCGCTCTCCCCCCGTCGCTCTCCCCATGCAGAATCTCCGCCGTCCTCTCATCACCTACTGTGTGCTCCGCCTGGCACCCTCGAGTGCTTTCTTGCCTGGGTGCCGGTCGGTGGGGCGATTTGCAGCACAGCGGTGCGCCGGTCATAGGTGCGGTGCAACAAGCGGCACGACTCGGTGAGCGCGACCGACACACCTCCATATGACGCTGCTGCTGCCTCTTATGTACTTGAGGAGTATAGTTTTTGGTGGTAGTCACGGGCGTATTTATGGTGGTAGAGCGTATTGTTCCACAGCGTATTGACCGCATTACACGAGCCTGATTTACTACTGCATTTGTCGCTGACCGGCAACATGACCAGCGCACAGCTTGCCGTGGGTTGACCTGCGCCCCCACGCTGAGGACAAATCGTTCGTCCACGCGCCATTTCCGCCGGACTTCCACTGCCGAGCTGATGGTAGATAGTTTGTTTTGGCTGGTGCCGGTCTAGATCTAGGAGGATCTAGGAGCACTTGTATTCGGTGTCGATTTTCGCTGCCGTTCTACATGTATCTTTCCTGCGAAGGGTCCGCTGAGAATTCGAGCATACCGCAGGACATTCTGGTGCTGCCCACCGCCGTCTGCCACATGCCGGACCCTCGGGTGCCCTCTCTACCGACAAGCATGGCATGTGATGAGCATGGCACGCGGGATCGCTCGCCACCACAGAAACGTGGTGCGCGTATGTTACTTCACTGCACCCTCCACTTCAGCTATGACGAGCTGCATATGCAAACGTACATCTACTCTAACGATGAGAGAAACAACACGGACGACGCCCGAGTCAGTCGGGGGCCGACCAGTACGCATAGAAGAAGGTACTGGGTACTGAGTAGACAGCGGGACAATTTTTATACCTGAAGCCAACCACAACAACAACAAGAATCCAAAAATCTTGAGTCCTTTCGTATCGGCGTGTTGGTATGTCGACACCCCTCTTTTCCGTCGCCTGCGGGACGATGATCAAATCAAGGCTACCCGGCGGGAGCAGCACAACAGCTCGCCGCGTTCGTCCGAGCGGACTTGTGAGACTTCGAAGCTCTTCTGACGAGAGCAACTTCGAGGGAGAGCCCTGGGGCTGGAGCGCAGATCAGTCGGGGAGAGAAGGAGACGACGGTGGTGGGGCTGGCGGTCCCTGGGACGATTCTTCTCAAGACAAGTAATTTTACTCAATTTTACTCCTGAGGCGGGAAAGGGGGAAGTACATATACAAATAGCTGCAATAGTTGTTTATTAAACGTTTTTTGTGTGGCAAATACTTGCGTCGGTTCTGCAGCTGAAGGTAGAAGCGGCGAACAGCAGAGGAGCCACCCGGTGACTTCGGACGGGACTCGAAAAGGGTTTTAGACCGTGTCCCGAACTCGTTGTACGGTGCGCAGAAGCGCACCTTCAATTTGAAGAATTGAGTCAAGAACTTTTAAACGGTTCCCTCGCGCAACCTTTCAAGTGTCTGTGGAGGCCGACGATGGCAAGATGCCTCTTTCGGTCTTGCCCAGAGGTTTACGCTATCAAACCGGTGCATAAAGAGCCGCCCGTAAACCATAACGGTTCAGTGGTGGTATCCCCAGCAGGGTTTAAAAGTATTGGATACGTACACAAATGAGTGAGTACGGACTCGGACAGGTCGTTGTCGGTGAACACGGTGTGTAAATCAGTAGCACGCGTCTTTCGCTGTTGCGCCTGTGCTTCTTCGCGCAGGTGGGAGGCTCTCTACGCCGAGGGGGAGAAGGAGAAGCAGAGTTCCACCTTCCTCAGCGCAATGGCGGACTGGGGCAAAGGTATTGGAGGTTGCGATGCGCTTGTGCTACCTACCTTGTGACGCGAGCGAATGTATTGTCTGCTTCTTTTGGGGGAAGGGGAGGCGGTGTAGCTTTTGCGTGGTACAGCAGTTATCGCGGCAATTTTTTCGATTGCATGTCCGGGGGTGCCGTTTGATACGCCGCCCGGCATCCGTGGGGCGCGTCCTTGCAGCTCTGGTCTCTTGGTAGGGGCCGTGCCTCCGAATCGAACAGATGTCGGTCCTTCGTCCCCCACGTGTACACACGTGGACAGGCGGAGTGCTGGGCGCGGTGGACGTGGAATACACCCAGCCCGTGGAGGTAGTTTCCTTCGACCTTGACGACACCTTGTGGCCGACAATGTGAGAGAGGTTTTTTAGCTAATGTAGCGGCAGGGCCCTCCCGAGCGCCGGCCCCCGCAAAGTCGGGGCACATATCGGTGTGCGTGGACGCCGTGGTTGCTGACCTTAGCTGCGTGTGCGCACTGTTACCTTCCTCGCTTGTGGAGCGAGGCGTGGAGGAGGTGTCGGTCCACTCCTTGGGCGGTAATTTACCCGCACGCGATCGTCCACTGCCATGTAGAAGTGGAAGCAAATCGTGAACCACGCGTGAGATAGGTCTTCCGAAAAAGTTGCCCCCAAAGCGTGTCGCGTGCACGTGCCCGTGTCGTCCTTTCGGAGTCACGGGCTTCGTAGAGCTCTGGCTCTGCCGTCGCCCTTTAGAGGCCGGGCACCCAAGCCGACGGCGGTTTCTCGCGAGGGAGAGCGGGAGAACACACAACCCCCCTGGCGGTGGTTTTTCATATTTTATCCGGTAGCCCGACGTACTCCATCCCAAGATGCGCGATGAGACCACGAAGGCCCTTGGCACACCATTGCTCTTTTCAACAGTGCTTGAACATCACTGGAGCAGCCCCCCCCCCCCCC